AGGGTACGAAAGCGGTGAAAGTCTTCTAACAGACTTTCCAAATACTTTTCATTTGCTGACATGAAGCACAAAGATCTGTTCAAAAGCACTAAAAGAAATCGCACTGGAACACCAGTGTCTGCACGTCGTCGAAGCTAAACAACAGCTGAATGGGAATAAAAAATATTGAAATTATGAAAAGAAAGGTGTGTGGTGCGTTTTTATTGTGTTTTGTTCTTTCCAATTGGAAGGATCTATTCAAAAGCACTAAAAGAAATCACACTGGAACACCAACCAGTGTCTGCCCATCATCGAAATAAATTAAAAATATTGAAAGGAGCCAGCATGGTGTAGTGGTTTGAGCGCTGGACTATGACTCTGGAGACCAGAGTTCGAATCCTGGCTTGGGCATGTAAACCCCCTGGGTATCTTTGGGCAAGTCACACTCTCTCAGCCTCAGGGGATGGCAATGGCAAACCCTTCTGAAGAGACCTGCCAAGAAAACACTATGATAGAATTGCCTTAGGGTTGCCATATGTTGGAAACGAAGGCATGCAATACCAACAACATTAAAAAAGGTTTTAGCATTGCAGGCCCGTGTTATTGGGCCTTTTAAAGCTCATCCTTTGTTCCCTGATGCCTTTTGAAGTAAAGCTAGGATATACTCCCAGTGTTGTGCTTGATCCCCATTTTTCTTGTCTCTCGGGGATTTTATAGCAATCCAGGCCAAAACAGTTTCATGAATTTATTTCCTGTCTGTTTCTTGGCTTCAAGATTTGGAATGTTTTCCTTTGTGGGACTTAGACTTGAATGATGGGCTGGAATGTAGTAACCATTTACTATGATTACTTAAGAAAAACAGGATGAAAAGGAAGGTAGGTCCCTAATTTGGTTCCCAGCTGTAGAAACAATGCGCAGGGTATTTCTTGGCATCGTCTCAGCTGCTGCACAGTAGTAGTGATGGTAGTAATGATAAGAACAGGTGTACATTCACTTCTATGTGGGTCATTGCTAGAAATACACACTCAAACCTATCACTGCTAGAAATACACACTCAAACCTATCACTGGGATAGATCTCCTACTCATATTGTGGTATTTCTTATCTACATTTATGAGCCAAATCTAACAAAACATACATTGGACACAAC